GTTTCATTAAACAAACTCTTCAAAAAAAATTATACACTGACATAAAGTCATTTGTTACCATTCAATTGGTTAAAACTCTTTCATTTGTTAAACTTTTTATTAAACTCTTTTAAACTTATATATTGTCAAAATCATGTCTATATAGATATAGTTATATAAGTACGGTTGAAAGGACTTAGGACTGATAACTCACTTTATTTCCTGTTCCTTGTTTGGTTGTGGACTTAGGGTATCCGGTTGTTTGTCCGAGTGTCGTTTGAATCTTAGTTATATATTATGTATATATGTATGGATATAAAAGTTCTTACATCAGTTCAACACCTTTGGGTAGCAAAGGTGTACAAACATACATAGTCATTCGAACAACATTACTAGTAAACTATAATATGTATAGTTTAGAGGTTCACTACTCACTATTTCTAGTACAGTGAAACATACAAGAGTCAGTTCATACATGAGTCAAATACGAACATACTATTATGCGAAACAGAAAGAACATACTATGATGAAAAACTTAGAGAACATACACTACGCTATACAAGAGAACATACTATACACTAGAACAGAGAGAACATACAATACACTAGAGCATACTATACACACACTAGAACACTATAACATTAATGTGAGCCACTACTTCATGGCATGACAATCTATTATCGTGTCACATTTTGTAACCAGGGTCTCCTAAAGGGAGAACGTGAATTTGTGTATAGATCTATATGAGACTGACCATCCTACACCCTGCTGCTAGCTATAGTGGAACTTGCAGGTCTACGGGTGACGAATGTCATACCATTTCGATGTCTTTGATCGTCGTGTTTCAATAGTCAATCAAGTATGGTTACAACCTCATCACATTTTACCTTAATTAACAAACTAGTTTAAGGTAGTTATTACATAGGTAGTTACTTATATACAATACTACAATACATCGTTATTTTCCCATTGCATTCACACTGTGATCTTCTCACATAAACGGAAATGTAAACTATATTTTTGTAATGATAGTCACACTTGGGAGAGATACACACTTTTACAAACAAACAACATATAGAACACTCGGGCCTTAGTAAAATGCTACTTTTAGTAGAAAATATAGGATTTTCTAGGAGATACAAACATTTACTACAAACACTTACAAATATTTACATCAAACATTTACAAACGCTTTCATAGAAAAAACTAAAATACTTATGAACTCACCAGCTTTAACGCTGATCTATGCTTTCAAAATAACTTGTATTCTCAGGTCACCAGTAGACAGGTACCGATGACCAGGTTTTGAGAAGATGGAGCTTTCAAAACTCGTCTTTATTTTGATTATTCATTTTTGGTGTCTTATAAACTATACACATAACACACTTGTATTAAATTATATTATTAATGCAATGGATGATGTTGTTGCTTGTTTACTATTATGCATTGTTGTGATACTGTACATGACGTCCTCCGCCCCAAAATGTTTCCGTCGTTCCGGTTTTGGGATGTGACAATTTCTTAGCTCTATACATCAACAACTTCTCCAACCCCGACATTTCTCTTGGTGCCAGCTCCTCCCACCTACGACCTCCAGCCCCACCTTGTCGTCTAACATTGTCTAACGATACCCAGCACTGGTGGAGCTCATCCTCTCTGATAGAGAGTGACACCTCCGATAAATCTCTTAGCAATTCTTCTATCTGTTTGTTTTTTTCATTATTTAGAATCTCCATCATCGACGCCACTGCATTTTTTCCATTAGGGTTTATCCATTGGTTTCTAGTCTATAATCTCTGGTTCTTACTAAATTCATGGAAGATATCAAGTCAAGAAAAGTGAAATCAAATGGTACTTGACAAGGAAACATGATTAAGTGTGTTCTTGTTATCTATGCATGCTTGCACAAATTTTCATTGAAATGAATTTATTGTGATTAAGACATTTCAGGTTATAATTGCGCACCTTACTTATGATGCATATTAAGCCATGAAGTTTGTGTTTATATCTGGAACTTTTATACAACTATTACATTTCGAATACAAAATGGATATGGTTATTCATAGTATTATATATGGAATAAGTTACGATTCAAATGTATTTTTTTTAGAAGAATATGATTTTGGAAGCATTAAAGGTTTCAAGATTTGTTATAAATAGGTATGAGAAAGAAGGAAACAAGGAACTAGCAGCCAAATTAAAGATGGATCATGTTCAAATGTTGTAGATGTTCTTATATTTTTGTTGGATTAATTTCTAAGTCCATAACTATAATTGGTAAGACTTGACCCGACCCTGCATGGTCCATTTGGGTTGCATGGCATCATGCATTTGGATAGACTAAAATGAGAGAAATAACACTTAAGGTTTGTTAATATATTATAAGTTCTAATATATTAATAAGATTATTTAATTAGTATTGATCAAAAATTAATCTAGAATTAATTAAGTGATCAAAAGAAGACTAATTAAATATATGGGTTGATTGTGTAAATCATCCGTACTTATATAGTGGGCTAATGCTCCATGGATTGTCAAGTTGGGCTAAAACCCATAAGATGCTCCATGGATGCTCCATGGTGTATTTGTACGCATGGATCATGGAAATGAAAGGCCATGACAATTAGGGTTTACATGGGTAACCCTAACTATATAATGATCTTATTCTTGGAGAAAATCGGCCACTATGTGTGAGAATGAAGGGCTAGCCGATTTCATGAAGTGTGTATGTTCTCTCAAGTTATTCCAAGTGTGTTTGGTGTTGTGTGAACCAATTTCCAGATCTCTTATCACATGACATATAGAAACCTATTTTTCTCATCCCTCCCAACCCACTTGATATGTGCATTTTATTTACTTTTTTATGGTTTATTTTAGTGTCTTTTATTTATTTTTAGTTAATCATAATGCATATATGTTATTTTTTATTATTTTAAAATTATTTTGGATACTTTTTAGTTTTTGTGTTTAATTGCAGATATTTAGAAGACTATCAAGAAGATTAGAAGACAGGTGTGGATTTGATTGAGAGTGTTTGTAGGCGTTGGGGGTAATTTATGGACTTGGAATGTATTTTTATTTGGGCTATTTGGTAAAGTTGGATATAAGAGGAGCTTGGGCTTAATCTTGAAGATTTGTGTAATTCGGCTTGAAGATTAATGAAGATCGGATGAATATGGGCTATAGAGTTGATGAAGAAGTGATATTGGGCTTTATTGGGTATTCTAGAAGCCTTTTAGACTCTTATTTTCGGGTGGAATGGAAGCAAGAGGAAAGGAAGATCAAGCATGAAATGGACTTAACCATGCAAGTCAAAGCTAGCAAGTCCTTTTGTGCAACCCACACAAAAATTGCACTAAGAATTGCGTAGCCAATGTAAGTCCTATGGGTTATTCTTGTCTTTTCACATTTGGTTGCTATTTAGAGGAGGTTCAGTGAGGTCTTTTGCAACTTTTAAAGAAGAAATTCAAAGACTATTTCTTGGAGCTTTGAGGTGTTCTTAAAGCTTGAAGATCATCATTTTTTCACTTATCTTTCATCTTTGTTGGATGTTTGGTACACTTATTTCTTTGTCTTAAACTTTGCCATGTTAGATTAAGTTCATATTTAGTTGATATTGATATAATTCCATGGATGATTAACGACTTTGAAGAATATAATGACTTTGTGATGAATATTTATGAAAGTATTTTTCTAGTTACACTTCTTTTGTATTCATTAGTTTAAATGTATGAAGAGTTATCAGTTGGTTTTTTTTTTTACTAAGGATCCTCAAATTAAAAAGCAACAAATGATTTTTGTGTACATTTTTATTTCACTTTAAGTCATGAAAGTATTTTTTCCAACATGATAATGAAAGTATTTAATCCCCTTTAGATTTTGTTGGTAACCCGTCAGTGACTTATTCCAAGATTCCGTCGGTAATCCGTACCAAACACATTTTGTCGGTAATCCGTTACAAAAAAAATTATGTCGGTGATCCGTTACTAATCATAATCACCGATGGAAAAATCCATCGCTAAAAATTTGTCGTAGCCGTTAGAAATCTGTTACAAATAATTAGCAACAAGAATATACCGACGGATTTTGGTATGTTACAATTCCGTTGGTAAAGAGTATAGCGACGGATTACCAACGGATTTTACTTTTTTTGTAGTAGTGCCTTTTTGCTAAGCTAGATTTTTTTTATAACTTTTGTTTGTGTTGTAAGCAGTTATGGGAAGATCTTGTAATTAATGCAAAAAATGGGGGCTTAGATGTTTTTTTCTAGCGTGTTTTGTTTTTACAGCTTCTTGATGTTTGACTTAGACAATGTGGTATGGGCAACGCCACCGGCCGTTATGCGTATGTAGTAGACCCTTAACGGCGCCATGGCAGCATGAACACCGCCTCAGCCAGCTGTTATCGGGTGTTATGCCACCGGGCGTGATGGTGGTAACGGGACGAAACGAATGTTATTCCTCTGTTTTTTTCCTGATTTGCTTCTTCTCAACACTTTTTCAAATAAAACACCATTTCCTTTTGATGTTTATAGATATGTTATGGAGAGAAGAAGATGATGTGATACCCATAAAGTGGGTACAAGCGTTACTCATACCCACCGACCTTATCAATTTTTAAGTTTTTGTTGACTTTTTGTGTAGGATAAAATATAAATAATTTCAAATAATTCACTAGTATATAAAAAGTTTTAATAACTATATTCGAACAAAATTCAAACTTCTTTACCATTTTAATCATTTCAAGTGATTATCCAATTAAAATATTATTGTATAATAATGTATATGGCGTAAAAGAAAAACATCTAATCCAAAACAAAAATGAGTTGTATACCTTGAGTTTTAAACCAGAAAATAATCACTTTTAATGTCATATTATATTCGTAAAATCGGCACAATGAATATTAAAATGTAGTACAAATACAAAGGGGTAAAGTAAGAAAAACACTACCCTCGTTTTATTCTTTGGATTTTATTGAACGGCCTTCTTCTAAACCAAGGAATCCTCCATCTTCTTGGATTTTACTGAACGGCCTTCTTCTGAACGAAGGAATCCTCCATTTTCTTCGCAGTTTGATCCAGTCCATCTTGATACTTCTGAAGAAGATAATCATATGTCAATCCTTCAACCGGATCAACAGCAAACAACCATTCAATCACGCACCCTTCATCACCACCACCAACCACCTTCAAAGTGGAAAGATATGATTTGAATCCAACATTGCAATCAACCATCTCGTAGCTCATTGACATCTTGTTCCGATCAACGGCCACTAACCGCTCCTTTGACCAACTGCAGTTTTGCTCAGCACTGCCATCTTCAGTTGGGAGAGAGAAACCAGCACAGTAGCGCACGCCGCCAACCTCGCCATTCACGCCATGAACACCGTAGCAAGTAGACATGTTGGGAAACCAGTTGTGGAAGTTGAAGAAGTCTATGAACAAAGACCATATTTCATTTGCACTTGCTTTCGTTACAGTTGTTGATACCTTACCTTCCCATTTTGCCACAGACGACTTCTCCTCCATTTCTTTATCTTTATGAGAGAGAGAGAGAGAGAGAGAGAGAGAGAGAGAGAGAGAGAGAGTGATATGTACTAAGTTTAGGATGTTGGCAAGACACGTGACATATAATGATCCATATGATGGGGAGGAGGCTTAGATAAGGCCGGTTAAAGTAAATATTTAAAAAAGAGAAGTAATAGACTCGAAGACCGGTAGGTGTCGACGGATACCGTATACCGTAGTGATGACGGGTCACCGAGGTGTTCTGAACACCACACCATCGGGTGTTCTAAAGCGCAGTAAGGCCACTACACGAGGAGAATAACCTCACATTTTTTTGACCGTTGCTTTGTTACAATTCTTTTAGGTGTGTTTTTCAAAAATTTTTTTCCTTATTTATACATTTTAAATCACAAAACAATTGCTTCCTTTCTATTTTCTTTATATTTAGAATTTGAAAATGAATTCGTCGGAAATGTTTGCATTGCAAGAGTCGGTATTTATCGACAACGTTATGCTAACAACACTTGATTATCTACAAGAAAATAAAGCCGAAAGTTTGCATTCAAAAACTAGAAATCATTTTATACGGAGAAGTCGTGAAGTCGAGTACAACCAACTTATGAATAACTACTTTAACAATGATGTAGTCTACGGAGAAATCCGGATAAGGAAATAATTATTTCTACGCACTGTTGATGGCTTAAAAAATTGATTTTCATCTTTTCAGCAAAAGATTGATGCAAGAGGCCAAGAAGGTCTCTTTACGATTCAAAAATATACAACTACAATTCGTCAAGTAGCATTCGACATGAGATCAGACTCATGAGATATATATTTGAGGATGCCAAAACGAACAACACAGGAATGTCTATACAAGTTTGTTAAAGCTGTGATTATCCTTTATTGTGGTCATTACTTACATAAGCTTACACATAACGAGTTAACGAAATCCAACAACTGTACATAGCACATGAAAACAAGCATGGGTTCTCATTAATACTTGGTAGTATTGATTGCATACATTGGAGGTGGTCAATATACCTTAATGCATGACACGGTCAATTTATGTGTGGTGATCGAAACCTACTAACAATAATTTTAGAAGTAGTGGTGTCCTAGATCTTTGAATATGATATGCACTTTTGGTGTAGCAGGTTCCAACAACAACATCAATTTTTTAAACCAATTATCAATATTCAATGACATCTACTTTCGGAAATCGTATGATATGTTGTTTCAAGCAAATGAGACATCATACAAGCGTATGTATTACCTTATTGATGGGATATATCCCGAGTTAGTTATATTTGTGAAATCATTTTCATGTCCAAATGACAAAAAATGATTAACATTTAAGTCGGCCTAAGAATCATCTTGGAAGGATATCGAGTGAACATTTGGTGTTCTAAAGAAACATTGGCAAATACACTTAATACTGGCACGATCATTTGAGTAAAAAAGAATAAATAGTCTGATGTACGAATGCATCATATTGCATGATATGATTATAGAAGATGAGGGGATTACAATTTCCCGTTACAATGAAAATGAGAATTTACCAACATTCGAAAGAGTAAGTATCAGTACTTCGAGATACATGACGAACATAGGGGAAGTATATGATCGAGTCGGACACCACAACCTTCATAACTGATTTGGTGGAAGATTACCGACGATGATTAGGTGTGACGTACTATTTTACTATATTTCGATCATATTTTTATTTATTTATTTATGTTTTTTTTTAGTATGTATTTTTTTAATTAATGAAATGGTTTTCTTTTATTAACTTTATACACTTTATACAGTTACATTTTATTAAAATACAATTTATATGATTACAAAAAAGTATGGTATCATTCCTGTTAGTTTTGTGGGGTGCAAGAAAATGATATCGTGCTAACGTGGCTGGCCAAAAAATATGGTAATATGTGACACCACACCTACGGATCTAAGTATTATTATTTTATGACTAAGATGGATAGTAAGATAGAATGATATTTAATTTTATATTAAATTTAAAACTTTTTTCACCATTCAGCCCCTTTTGTCCAATCAATTGGCTACAAGATAACTTTCTATGCCCTCGATGGATTGATTCTTTAGTAATTAAGTCAACAATAAAGTACAAAATACAAAATCCTTCTTCTGTAATTGAGAAAAAAAGGTAGTACTTCCTAATTTCCACTCCTCTTCTCTTTCTTTCGATATTTATGAACTATATATATCTTAAGTATTATATGATTTTGAAATTGTGTCTATCGCTTATTTGAATTTGGATACGTAATTCTGTAATTTATGATTGTAAATAATTGTTTCTATAGTCAATTAAGTCATGTGAATGTTTGAACTATAAGGTCATAGTAAAGTGCAAAATTGGTCATTGTGGTTTACGTATGAAGTCAATTCTTTTATTGCATGGTTGGTTCAAAATTGAAATTTTCATGTAGATTTGGTCCATCGACTTAACTGGTCAGATCTCTTTAAAAGTTAGGGACATTTGGTCTTTTCAAGTGTTTTTTTTAATATATTCTAGCCCACCTACCCACACACACACACACTTTCTCTCTCTCTCTCTCTCTATATATATATATACACACACACACACACAATGTTTTCTATGTGTTGCATCCCTTAAGTCGTTAAGAATGAGACATGTTGCGTACGTTGGGCGTACCAAATGGTATGTTGCGTGTATACAGTTTGAGCCCCAACACCTCAGACCATGAGTACACCCTGCGTACGAGTCTGAGTTGACTCAATTGATTTTGTTGATTTTAACTGATTTTGACCAAGGGCATTTTAGGAAAATTGCTATTAATTTATAATGAGAAATGTTTTGATTATTAGGAGTCGGGTAGAGCCGGTTGTCGGAGCAGAAATTCATTTAGACTATATTTAGACTGAGATTGAGAGGTGAGTTTTCCTCATTGTACTTATGGGCTGAAGGCAGTCAAGGCACCAGTCGGCCCATTGGATTCGATATCCTAGTTGTTGTATGATGTTATGTAGAGATATATGGTTATTGGTTATGTGATTAAACTGGTAGATCTGTAGGACTACCTGTGTTGGTTGTTATTGATTGATAATGTTTATATCGATATGTTATGGTTTACTGGGCTAAGGTGGACAAGCTGATAGACTGAAGGCCAAGATACCCAGGGCGGTCCGGATAGGTTGAAGGTCTGCGAGGTGATCCAGTCAGGCCAAAGGCCCAGAGAGCGGTTCAGATGGGCTGAAGGTCCAGTGAGTTGGTCCAGTCATGTTGAAGGTTCTGTGTGCATGTTGTTGTTTGTTATGTTTATGTAGCGGTACTTTGGGGGAACTCACTAAGCGTTGGCCTACAATTTAGTTTTGTTTCAGGTACTTCTAAGGATCGTGGTAAGGCGAAGACGTGGCCGTATACATTTTTGGTTTTATGATGTTGGATCTTGGGAGACTATGATTTTCAATAATGTTTTTGGAAACAATGGTTATGTAAACACTTTTTGAGTAAATAGGTTGTTTTGAAAAGTAAAATTTGTTGTGATTTTTGAACATTATAGTTGTGAAGAAGGATAATGGTGGTGAGGCGTGGATGACATGAAGACAGGTGTACGGTTGTTGGATAATATGGTCGATGATAGTGTTGATGATGATAGAGAAGACAAACAAGGGCCACTGCCCAACACTTTGACACTCTATGTGATGATCTCTTACTTCAGATCCATCAATATCCATTCATAATATATGTTGATTGTGTAACACCCTATGTTACCAATGTCATAGATTGTAATAAATTAAGAAATAAAAATATCATATTCTTGAGCCAAAGTAATTATCATAAACACATAGGAAATGTTGATACGATTCCTGTAGATATATAAAACGCATAAATCTGACTTTGTAAGAAGGAGTTATACTTCTTCAAAGTTTCATAATTAAACTGACACAACCAACCAAAACTGTAAGCACATGCTTAGTGAGTTCCAAAAATACATAACACATAACCACATTATGCCATGCACATATATACATAGATTTGCCATGGACTCCCTACATGGTCTTCATCTGGAATGCCTTGGGCTACCCTCATGGTCTTACATCCAAGGGTCATAGGCTCCCTCTCATGGTCTTACCAAGTGTCATGGGCTCCCCCATGGTCTTCACACAAGTCAATACATATCAAATGACAAAACCATTGGATATTCAACTAATAAAATATCATATCAAGTAATGGGCCGACATTGGTGTCTTCGACCCATTTGTATAGTGAGAAGACTCACCTTAGTTTGCTGAAAACAATCACTGCTCAACTACTAGCCAAAATCTCACACTGAACAAATATACAAATACCCTAATTAGGATTATAACTCAACCTAATCAAAGAGCCCAAAATTCTAAGTCCAAGTTCCTCCATAATGGCCCAAAGGTCTTTTTTTCACTAATGGGCGTAACATCAAAGCCCAATTCTATATTGGGCCACAAGGCTCAATAGGTCCAAACATACCAACATTGGTCCAAGTAATAAATTCAAGCCCTTAAAACCAACAAGTCCAGGCCCAAGTAATTAGGGCCCAAAGTCTTAAAAACCCACTGAAGGCCCAAGACTCATTAAGAGTGTACGCTCATCATACCTCTTCTATACACTTCGCATACTGGACTAAGGGGTTGTACGCGCAACGTACAACGTAGTACGCCCAACGTACAAACCGCTCATGCATAAAATCCATTAAGTGCTTAATGAATGCAGGCTCTTCATTTAAATTCTAAATCTTGGTCAATTTAATTGTCCTAAGGCATAAAGTTGGCAACTGTATGCCTTTGCATGCTATATAAGATCCCAATAACACAATCTACCACATTAAGACCTTTCCAAAGGTCTTAACTCATGCATGGAGCCATAGAAGACATCAAGTTTGCATTTTTATACTATAAACAAGTCTAAGAGTCTCAGACCTAACCTTCTTAACCTTTAGAGTTTCCCAAACTCCAAAGAGATGATTTATGGACTTAAAAGTGGAATCTAGAAAACATTAAAT